ACGGAATAGCCCGTACTCTAGCCTGATGCACACGTCCCTTGATATTCAGGGATATAGCGCTTTCATTAGCTCGTCTGTCACGAAATTAGACAGGACCAGAGAGAGTAGGCATGTTTGTCGGATACCACTGCATGTAAGGAAGCTTTTGGATACGTCCTATATACTCTCACATATGTGAGGGCGAAATTACTCAGTGGTTCGAGCGCGAATTTACCAACCGGAAGGTCCATGGTTCTAACCCGACATCTGCATCTTGACTTCTCCCGTCTAGGCTTGGTCAACCTATCTGTCTCCCAACCCCCGTGCTTTCCTCGGGTGACATGACATCTAGGCACCGAAGGGGGCTATAGATGAACAAAAGAACTATATTCACATATTTTTAGGGCCTTTCTTACTGCGCAAGTCAAGGAAAGCAGAATAGTTACCTGAGTCAAATGTGCCTCGGAAATCCGATGGTACTGAAATCGTGGGTGATTCATACGTATGCCATTAATCTAGCACCTGACGGAGTGTGATGATTTCGTCAGCGCAACTCCTGGCAGGCCGGAATCCTGCTTACTGCTCTATGGTCAGTGTTTCACGGGACACCATAAGTGGGCGAAAGAGAAGTGAAGCTAACAGACTGGTCACGATGAGGGTCAAGGTGATCCCCTGTGATTACCGCACTCATTATGAGCCCTTTTCTGGAAATTGGCACTGTGACCGACTCTCCAGAAGTGCCTGCGACAGCCTAGTCCAAAATGCAGGCAAGCAGATCAGACAACTGCTGGCTGGGGGCTTTACTCCCTTCTTTGACCAATGTGAGTGGCAGGTCACCAGGACCAGGAGTGTGGTGGTGCTTCGTATAAAATATGCAGTCATTAACCTCCAAAACTATAGGAGTTTCCAGGTTGACCGTCCGAGATTCTACCTCAGCTGTAGGCTCCAAATGGGTGCCAAGGATTGGCCACAAAAATCTTTGTTCAAAGCGCTTGACCCGGAGGTTATAATGTCCCTGTTCCTCAAGGCGGTCGCACTACTTTCGTCCTTGATGCTTTTTCCTACAGGTGGTTTCCGAGGGCCGGTCTTACGGATCACCTGAATTAATTTTCGGGCGTTCCCGGTTTTCTGAGCCTCTGCCATTTCCTTACCTTCCGTGTCCACCAGGCTTCACGGTCGGTGTGCACGCTCACTTTCACCTAGCGTCTGATGATTCGTCAGGACCGGCGATGACATTTCCACGAGATTCAGGCAGTGCTGCCGTCCTTTCTGATATTCAGTGCTTGAGCGGGCCTGGTAGCACCGTACCGTAGGCAAAACTACCAGCACTGCAGAGAGGTAGCGATCTCGTCCTAGAATTCATTCACACCCGACGATTGGACGGTTAGATGGGAGTTCAGAAGATGGTTCTGTTAGGGTCGGTTAACTTCGGAATGTGCCGACCTCTCGGTTGCCAGTCTATTTGTGCGCACCGTACGTGTTGTGAACAGTTAATCCCCCGTGCAACTGATGGACAAAACCTGGACCATGTTGATTAATCCGTGTAGGAGGAGAAACAACTCAAGACTGAGTTTTTGGTCGCCAAAACTCCTGTCTTACGACCGGCTATGCCCGTGGGCAGTGTGATGGGCAGCGAGTCAAAGTTGTGGGCCTCAAAGTTCCGACGATCCAAAGTTCAGCAGTGGAACTTTGGGTGGTTTCGCTGCCACTGGGTGCCCAGTATTTTAGACAAAGATGTTTGCCGATTTGAGGATGGCGTTTTGAACGAAAATTATTGAGAATCAGGTGAGCACGTCGACTATGTAGCTTTGCTGGGAGTGGACTCCACCAATGTTGGTGAGGGTAGACGCTTTGGATATGGTCCGGCGGGCAAGACTTGAATCCACTGACCGAGGATTCTGTGGTTTCGATCCACTGTTCCTGTCTAGTTTTTGGGCATTCTGGCGGTATGTCAACACTCGAACTTCCTTTGAGCTGAATGGGGGCAATGCACTGAATCGATACCACAGCTCGATGGTTCTTATTTATTATTGAACAATTTAAGTACCCCAACTACACGGTTTAACATGAGTTCCATACCAGCTCGGGCTGGCTCAGCTTCTGGGACGCGAAGCTACTGATCGACAGGCCCGTAGTTCGTTCTAAGTCTTAGGCATTTTGATTGTTCCTGTCTGAGATTGGGCAGCCTAGATCTCGTACGTCCTTCGGGTTGCACGCTATGCGCTGAACTTCTGGTGTTTACACCATAAAAATTTGAAGTACTACTGCAAGACTGGCAGGGCCAAACTCAAGCCCCTTGTCTGTGAATGGTTTAATCGATGTCGATGGCCAATACGTGTGTTCTTGATTGAACATGATACTTGAAGTATGGGCAGCTTTTTCTCACCTGTGACATGACATTGAGTTTTTTATTAGCGACAGCTTACAGCGCCCCAATGTACCCCCATACTGTTTGTTGTGTGGGCCAGAGAACTGTCACGAGGAGACTGGACCTTACCATGGTGTGGCGGTTTGTGTACCTCGGTGACCCATTGAGCTATACTGGGGAGTGTCCGCACGATGCTCACAGAGTCTCTCATATCAGGTTGGTCCATGGCTGGAGTTCCGACGAACACAGTCTCCTGGCCCTCCAGGTTGGGGTTTGGAACATGTTTGGCGACGTGTTCCGTAAAAATGGTAATGTACTTGCATTTCCAGCCGAACACCGCTGCCTTGGGGTTAGGCTTTTGAGCTAACGGCTTTGGTTGAGGACCCTAATCGTCCTCCTGTCTAGGTGTGGGCGCCCTGGCAGTATCCTAGCCCTCGTACAACCATAGTACGGCAGTAAAGCATCAATGCCAACACTGATGTTGCTGTCTTTGATGATGATGATGCCAGAGAACTGGACACACCTGTACTAAACGTTAAAGATCTGTCAGTGTTTGGTCATAGATGCCTGCGACGCCTTGTTTGAAGCCGGTACGGAATTCGGATCAGTATGTGTCGTCTTTTGGAAGAGAAAACTCACGCATGACTTATGCTGATCTTACCGCACAAAGTGCAGCAGCAGATTGGTCCTCTAGCAAGCCATTTCCATCCGGCCGCATGATAGATGAAGACACGCTGAGGGACGTCAGCTAATGAACTGGCAAAGATACATGAATACCACCACCAGCAGACTTGGTTGCTGTTGCCCTCTCCTAGAATCGACGCTGCCCAATGATTTCCGTCTCCCTTATTCGGAACCATCCCTTGCCCATACTGACCGCCTTTCGCGTCATAACCCGGTGTATATTACCCATTTACATTACATGACTGTCTTCATCCCAGGCTCAGCCTTTCCACTGCCCCTTGTTTGCCTCTACCCACTTGCGATTTTATCAATAGACTAGTCAACACGGTATCTCTATCCTCTTCTGTTGGCGTGGGTGAAGCACCCGAAGTATTCAACCACTGTCCAATACTCAAACTAGAGCGTGGATAGTCTGAAGAGGTCCAGGTTGCAGATTTGGAAGTTCATTAGTTGCGGCCATGAACTTCCTCACGTCTGTCACAGACAGACCTTAGGTCAAGTAAACTGATGCCATTCACCTCTTAATGGTGGCGGACAATATGAAGGCTCCTTTTTTATCCTTCTCCCACAATTGAGTAACCATTCCAGTTTGACCACTAGAACTACTCATCCCTTGTATACCGTCCCATCGGATTGATCGAGTGTCTGAGTTTCTCACTTTCGTCATTTTGACCAGTTCTGCTCAAAACTGATCGTACTCATGTACTAAGAAGCCCCATTTGCCGATCGCCTCCCCACTGAGCAGGGGCAGACGAAAACGCCAACACATCTTCGTAGCTCCACCATTGCTAAGTTCCTCCAACATTTTTGAAGTCTTAATTTTGTAGGGCCAGCAACGCCGATGCCACCGTCCTTCTATGGTAGTCAAAGATACTATCTCGGTGAATTTGCACAGTCTTTGTCGTGCGCACCGGTGCACTCGCAGCTTCCGTTTGTTTAGCTGTCCTCTATGGGCTTGGTTTCAATCAAAGGCTTGATCTGAAGCAATGTCGATCACGACAATGTTTCTGACTAAATGACCCACACCAGTTATTCGTCTGACTACCCGACGTCGACCTATTCAGTGAGGTAAGAGTCCTGCTCGGACCTGAATGTCTACTGTCCGTGTTCTTTCGCTGGGAGGAGCTCTTTTAGGAAATAATTCTCATAGTCTCCATATTACGAAACAGCCATGAATATGATCGCTTAGATCCTCCTGTGTTCCTGAATGCGTGGTCTCACATATCTTAGTCTGTCTTGCGCCGTCTTCTCCCGTACCTGTGACCCTCATTCCACAGTTCCCGATTTTGTTTCTCCTCTGTGAACTTTGTCATTTAGCGAATACTACGCGTCAGGGTTCGTTTGGTGTGAAGCTTCACATTTTCCCACATGAGGATGTACTGTTTGTAGCTGTACATTTCAACTTCATTGCGAAATTTTTCCTGGTGTGTATGTGGTTGGGTATATCTCGTGCACCGTACGCGTGGGCGTAACTTTGTTCGCGCAGACACATCCACTGGCTAGCCGATTTCACTTTATCACTGTTGCAAACGACCTGTGAGAGAATCGGTTGTACACAGAAAATGGCACACACAACAGCAACGCTTCAGACGTGTTTCATTTCACAGTTCCGATTCAGACAAACCTTCCCTCGGTCGGACAGGTTTATCAAATACGGTGGCTGACAACGTGAACTGTCGGCCGACTGGTTAGGAGCATTGATTGCGTTCAACCTGATTCGAGACATCCTGCAGTCATTTGGTGCTAGTCTGCCATATTTTGTACGCAATAGGCGTGCTAGAGCGATATGGCTCAAGTGGTTAGAGCGCGAATTTACTGACCGGAAGGTCCGTGGCTTGAACCCCACATCTGCCTCTCGAGCTGCTCTGTCTAGGCTTGGGCAACCTAGCAGTATCCCAGCCCTCGTGCTTCCTTCAGGTAGCATGGCAGCTAGACACCGGAAGGGTGCTACAGCTGAGCGAGGCGTGATTTACGAGAATAAGCTTACCTGCGTGACCATTTCAGTCTGTTGCTGGTGAGCAAATTGGAAGAACGTCATTGAGTCCGATCAGTCACCCAAACTGTGGGTGATTGCGTATCGGGTGATATCAAGCGCTGTTGGGGTCTCTTTCCTGATGTATGGAGTTAATTTAGTTCTCTCAACCCTGAACAGTATACGTCTGTACCGTGTTTATGTTCTCTGCTGCTTTTGGTTGCCGACGGAGAATGGGAACTTGAGAGAGGACTGATTGATTTTTCAGTTCGTTACGATTAGTTGACTTCTTTCCGCCTGGTTGACCACATGCTGCTGCGCCTCTGCTGCTTTAGGTTGCCGACAGAGAATGGGAACTTGAGAGAGGACCGATTGATTCTTCAGTTCGTTACGATTAGTTGACTGCTTTCCGCCTGGTTGACCACATGCTGCTGCGAGGCCCCCTAGTGGCAGACTGTCAGGTAGATGGCCGGTTTACGCTAGTGCTTTGGTGTTCGTGTTAGGTGACTGAAGTGTGTTGTTCCTTGTGTATTATGGTCATGATGGCCAATACGTTGCCGTATTCCACTTCCACAGCCAATAGTTGTAATTCTACGGCGCTCGTTCTAATGAATGTGGCTAAAATGATAGACATGCTCCAGTTAGAAGCCATCCTTAGCTATCATCCTATGAAAGGTCCAAATGGAGATCTGGAATCGCAAAGGTGAACGATACGTTTAATTTGGTTGTGGACTTTTTTCTACTACACGGAAGTGGTTTGAAGAGTTGACGATTTCCATGGTATCTTTTTCCTGACTGGCGTCATTGCAAACTAGGCCGATACATCTCCCCAAGCACACAACGGGTACTGTCCTATACGGCTGCGTCTAAATCTAACATAACACCGTGCATCCAGTATAAACTAGAGGGACTAAAACCTGAGGATGAACAGCAGGCAGGAGTTTTAATGAAAGCATGCCCAACTGGTATCTCGTAATTGTCAGTTCAGCTGAACAATTAACCCCGCAAAGCGTGGTCGGCTCTACTCGAGAGACGCATCTTGAGACAGTGTTAGAAAGCATTCAGCCATATCTGCGTGCGGCGGTCACAGAGTTCACCTGAAACACTTGTAGGCCTAATCCCCTGGAATATCAACTGTAATGGTGCGTCCCTTTTCAGACGGGCACACCAAGCATACAAATAAAACACGATACATTAAAGCACAACCAAGATAATACAATGTGTACCAAGTGGATATGAGGTAGTCGGAACAACGGACAACAACACAAACGAAAGATCTTGGGGTAACCACATACAGTGCACCTTTTGGGTTCGGACGATGGCTTTAACCAAAAGTTAGTACTTGCAGCGGGATAGTTCAGTGGTAAGAGCGCGAATTTACTGACCGAAAGGTCCGTGGTTCGAGTCTAACCTGTGCCCCTCGACCCTCCCTGTCTAGGCTTGGGCAATCTGGCAGTATCCGAGCCCTTGCGTGTTTCCCTCGGGCGGCATAACAGTCAGGCACCGAAGGGGTACCTAAAGCTGAACTCGTAGCCTATGCAAATCGTCTGTTGGCATACGCCACTCATGAAACACACTCTGGAGCATATATGACCAACGGGTGTGGGCCATTATTCAGATTGGTCCATACAATAATGGTCACAGAAAGTCACTTCCAGCACCCTATTAGCACACTAGGGTGCGGCTTTGACGACACAGGTGGAGACAGCCTGTTAGTTGAAGCTAATGATGTGCGAATCAGGTAGACTAGAGGCTGCATTCATACCGATTCGAAACCGGAATGCATCCAAATAGCGCTCTATAGTTTGCGCCATTCCTTCCACACGATAGTGATAATTAAAAGTCGCTTCTAGCACCGTCGCAGGCATGGCTATGTGGAAACTTCAGAAAATCAAGGCAATTCTGGTACCATCTGACGTTTGATTGAGAGTGGTACTGAGTCAGTGCATTGTTTTTCTCTATATGGTACTACTAACTTAAATGAGAAATATTTTCAACGGTCTGTTCACCTCAGTTTCCCGTTGTGTTCGATCGGGTTTGTTGACGAGGGTTGGAATTCACATACGTCCAGCTTGATCTACAAGCACGAAGTACAATTGTTGGGTTCTCGGCTTTGAAGAAGGACTTTCCTCCGGTTGTAACACCCTTCTGGTGCCTAGCTGCTGCGCCACTCGACGGAAGCATGAGGGCTGAGCTAATGCCAGGTTACCCAGGCCTAGACAGGAGAAGTCGAGATGCCGATGTCGAGTTTTCACCAACTGATCCTTCTCGCCCCTTTGGTTCACTGATACTTGGACTTCATGCATTGCGCTGCAATCCTTTTGGGCTCCAAAGCTAAATGGTCTGCGTCTTCAGAACCAGAGTCTCATCTTTAGGCTGAATTTGGGACTTTACATATTGTATGGGTATAATGAAGTGCCGCTCTATTGCTTGATGTAGTTGTCAGTATTTGGAATCCTGCCGGCCATATCAAACGAACCTTGCTTGCACCTGCGTGAAATGAACTTGTACAAGCCTTTTTGTGGTTTTGGCCGGTTTCAGACGATAACTTAAACATTTACTCTACTTGGAGGGTTTCCCCATGGAGCTTTCCGTTGTTGAGAACGATGATGACTGTGACAAGTGACTAACTTCAAACACGATTTACTCTGTTCCGCCGTCTCATCTCACTCTGTTGGTTAGTTGCAATTGTCAGTATGCCTGACAGATTCCTCCTCTAAGCAGGCATTGATCGTGTCGAAAAACAAAGTCGATGCACTTGACGGAATGAAGCAGTCATAGAGGGTCGCTAGCAAATTGTCCATTTCGTTCGTGCGGCTCATGATGTGGACACAGTCCCCGAGTTTCCGTCAGCCATATGTTTTACCTAAACACCTGATAGTACCAAAAGGCGAAATGCATTCATTTTCACACTACACTGGTGTTAACGAATGACTCAAATGAACCGCATCTCAAGTGAAATACCTTAACGTCCTGGATATCGTAGATAGTAATAATTGTTCAGCTGTAGCACCCTTTCGGCGCCTAGCTGCTATGCCACCCGAAAGAAGCACGAGGGCTAGGACAGTGCCAGGTTGCTCAGGCCTAGGCAGGATAAGTCGAGAGACAGAGGTCGGGTTCGAACCATGGACCTTCCGGTTAGTAAATTCGCCCCCTTGGATATAGTAGAAGTCCGGCCAAATCATCCAGAATGAAGAGACTTAACACCTACAGTTTTTGGAGAGTTCCTCCTAACATTCCCACCTGCCAGTTATGCGAAACAATAACCACTCAAATAAGTAGCGAGAAACTGGTTAGTGGACTTCGTTTTCCGTATCTCACTGATCCCAGTTTAACTGCTTTCCAGTACTTACGCTCAGATAGCCGTTATGTTTTGTCTCTTACACCCAAACCGATTTCTTTATTAGTATGTTTTTTACTTTCAGTGACCATTCACCTCAACGACGTCCATTGTTAAACAGTCAGTTATGTTGTCGCCAGTGTGTATATCAACACTGTACCAACTGGATTTTCTCCATGCGTGGTGGAGGCTTTCCTCATACCACCATCTTCGACCGACCTAAGGAGTATGATCAACCCGCCTAAACGTTCGTATAATTTCAACACCGGTCTGGGTTGTTTCACCAACTCGTCGTCCACGGCTGTGTGTGATAGTCATTCGGCTACGTTGTACTCCCCCATGACCACGGCTATTGCTGGTCGCCAAGTGAACACAAATCATCTCACCACACGGCCGTCTTCCCTTCCTGCCTACTCTGGCGGCATTAACGATGGTGCGCCATTTGTGGACCGAGAGGTTGATGCAATCGATACGACGTTGGATTTATTCTGTCGTCGAACAGGCGGTATCTCTTCACCATTCAGTATTGGAGGACCTTCTTCGCCCTTGGGATTATTGATAAGTCAGACAGAATTGAACTACTGCGATGCGCGATCGACGTCAACGCTTGCAACCCCGCCAGCCGCCTATGGTCAAGATTTGCCCGATGAACATCAAGGTAAGTTACCCGGGGTAGTTCGTATTCCCTCCGAAGATCTGTGATTCGGTTTGCCACAGGAATGCCCCTATTGCGTCCCCTTCCAACACGGTTCGATACACTTCATAGGGCTTACATGCTCTAATGGCCGAGTGACGTCCCGAACCTCACTGTCATTTCACCCACAATCGCATCATTTCCTTTCTATCGATTTCCCCCACCCCTTTGATTTTTCCCCTCAGGTTAGCTACTTTGTTGAATAGTTACATAGTCAGGTGAACGGATGCAATCCAGCAAATTTGTCAACATCTCTTTCATCCTCAAATCGTTGCGTAACAGTAGAGAGAGAGAGAGTGGGTGAGTGAGACAGAGCCGATGGCAGTGGAATTTTCGCAATTTTTCACCAGCGATGAGGGTTGATGCGACCGTTTTTTTGGCATTGCGTTTTTCGTGCTACGACACACGCAGTTCTCCAGAAATATGCACTACAACCAATCACCGCTTTATGCCAACTGGACTGATTCGTTTTTTCTGGTTTTTCGGAGTGTTCGTTGTTCCCTCTCTCTCCTCGCCAGACAACCTTTGGTTGTTCGCCAAATGTCAGAATGACATACGAAGGTTTGTTGAAGAATTTTCAGCCTGGTCTAGGCAACTGTTATCCATGGATGGGTCATTCACAAAGTTATGTCTATATTCCCTTACAACTGGGGATAAATTTCCCGTCCGGATGGTAACCAAATGCAGTAGCGCTGATTCCAGTTTCTGACCAAACCCACTTCAGTATGCTTCTGTGGTAGCTAACATGCAATTGATATCCCTTGAAGAAAGATCAACACTAGGAAATAAAGGTTTGACGAGAGATTCAGCTGGGTTCCAGGTGAGTCTCTCGAAACAACCAAATTGGTTTGCAAATGAGTGTATATTCGCTAATTTCGTGCAATTTGGTTTCAAGTAGAACATAAGGTTGACGGAAACCCGGGGACTGCGCCTACCTGATGAGCCCCAAGTAGGGCGAAACCGGTCGTGGGCTGTCGATGGATTTTCAGCAACCTTATGAGTAGTACATTACAAACATTTTCCAATTGATTGAAAGGTTTGACTTCTTTTCTGGAGATCACGCAGTTAGTCGCGGTCAACTTGGAACACAATGGTGATTCCCTAGCTGAGGAATCATCGTTTGGTTTCTGCTCTGTACTGTGATATCAAGTAAGCGTCTGCGTACCTTTGTTCTTAACACATTTCCCGGAATTCCCTGTGCGCAGGATGATAAGATAAGATTGGTTGGGCTCAGGGTTTCGTCTGGACGTCTGCTTTGTTGAAAACCACTTCAGTATGTTTTCATAAAGGAAACTACTCACAAGGCTGCTGAAAATTCTTCGACAACCAACTACCAGTTTCGCCCTTCTAGGGGTTCATCAGGTAGGCGCGGTCCCCGAGTTTCCGTTAACCTTATGTTCTAGTTGAACTCAAATTGAACTGTTTTCGAGAACTACACTCATTTGCAAATCAATTTGGTTCTCACGAGCGACTCAACTGAATCTCCCGTTTATGAAAAGCTGCTATGACCCGGATTGTGTGAGATAGCGAGAGGTCCATATTGTACGGTAGCTGACCGAAAATGCACCAAAAAGTGCAAGTGTTCATAAGTTAAAGTCACATTGGAGTTTGTGTCTGACGCATGCGTGAAGACATCCCAGCTGATCGATAAGTGATGCTAGCGCCACGGAATTTCTAGTCAGCTGACTCATTCGGTATGGTTCTTTTTTCCGACTGCTTCCGCAATCTTACTGGCCACAATGGTTAGAGATATGTTTTATACCTTCCCTGTGAAGACACAGTTTTCAGCGCTGCAATGCGCTCCGGGTTTCCGCTAGCAGACTATCAAAAGAATTTCAATATATTACCATAGGTGTCGTCCAATTACGACGATGGCAGTGAAAGTCGTTGTGAGAGGGGGGAAGATAACTCCTTCAGGAAGAATCACTGGTACCTTTTCCAGGGGAACAGTCAGTTAGAGAAGGTCGGGTTTTCGAACAGTACGATCTAGACTCCCAGCGTTCTGTCCAGTACTGTCGAAAACAATTGCATCTTGTTCACGGTCCAGTGTGATTTCAAACGCATCTTTTGGGCGCAGCTACGTCTGGAATCAGGTCTGGATTGAGGCAACCCACCACGCACAGCTGGTTAGGTCAATCTTACGATTCGCTGTCCCCAGAGCGCGTTCCCTCATAACCCCCCGGCACCCGACAGTTGATGCAACTGCTAGGTTTATGGCATTTGGGATGAACCGCACATTCTTCTGGTGTATTGTCGATTATGCTTGACTGAAAGGTGGGGCCCGGGTAACCAGGATCCTCATGCAGCTTCTCGTTCAGAATCTGCACCCTTACTCGCAGCTCCCCCTTCATCTAAGTATTCTCAGACCAAACTGTCAGTCACCTAGCTATTGTTCCCTGTGTTTGCTGCTGACCAGTAAAAGAACAGGTTAATTTAACAGACCTACTGTAGTGCAGCCTCTAACATGTACACACCATTAAGTTGGACAACAAACGTCTTGATACAATAAATTCGACTTCTGTCGGAATAGGCCATCTGTAATACGCACACACACACACAAGACTCCAGTCTGATCATTCATCCCAGACCGCTCAGGACCAACACAAAACCGTGCACTTCCTCCGGTTGTCTGGTGCTTCTGACACCGTGACTCGGGCGTGGCAGTCAGAGACTCCAGTTGATCATTCATCCCAGACCGCTCAGGACCAACACAAAACCGTGCACTTCCTCCGGTTGTCTGGTGCTTCTGACACCGTGACTCGGGCGTGGCAGTCAGCTCCAGAGTTCAGGTTGGTTCACTCCACTGGATTCCCACGAAATATAACCCGGAGTCGAAGATGGATCGTTTCTATCCCCAGTTATCACATCGGTCGGCAAAGAACTGAGGTCTTCTTGTTATCGTGGCTGTCGTTCTGAAGCCCAGGTCGAACCACTAAGTGCTAAGGAGCATATTTGGAAATCGATTCGGTGTTGATGCTCAACAGTGCTGATCGTTGGCTGTCTCCAACTAGCGGGAACTTCCTACACAAGTGTCCAAACTGGAAGTAGATTGTGAACCCAGTAGGATTATGTGGCGGTCAGAGATATTCCCCACTCAAGATTATCGTTCTTTCTGGACAATACCTTTCGATTCTGGTCATGTCATCTTGTAGGCATGATTATCCGTTTTACGCAGACCCGCTGGTAGAGGCAACTGAATAGGATACGGCATGCAGATCATTCATACGGCTAGTACGAGATAGAGATAGGAAGAAAACAGCCCCAAAAGAGGAAAAGAAGGCTCTTACGACAGTTGACCACAACACCTCGTTTTCCAATGATTCGGTGAATCAGACGGAATAAACCCGGATTAAGCGAAATTCCATTCGATCATTCTATTCGATTACATTGGCCGCATCCTGAGCGACGAGACGGATGGCTCGGCAAACAGACGGTTTAGCGGCTCTCTTACAGAACAGGCATTAAGGTCATGGACTCAACCGGTGTCAGGATGCGCCCAAACATGTGGGGTGAGTGACGCATCCCCAAGGTCACATTGGTACGACACGTCCGGAAAGCAGGTGCGTTGGCGGAGCACACCAAACACGGCTTGGCAACGTAAGACTAGTGGAGTGGAGCTGAAATTGTTCACGCCCGGAACACTGCCATTAGCTGTACAGAACGAACAACTGAACGACCATGTTTGGCCCTGTGGTCATCCCATACATACGCAGAAGCTCTGTATGTTTTGTCCTGACAATGCAGCCGTGTCTAGGATTCTGTCTTATCGCGTAGTCTGACAGGCCCAGTGCAGGCGTAACCAATAGACGGCCACCCACGTTACAACAACCGGAATAGTGTGGACATCCGTCGTAGAGGCGAAAATCCATGTGAAGCCGAACTCCAAGTAGCGTGAGTAAAAATACGTCCGTATTGGACATGGTCATTCTTCGGTACGCTCATGCCCCGGAAAGTATCAAGAATTCCGCACCGGATAGCTCTAACTCAGCACCGCTCAAAGGAAGCGACGAACTATCGAAAACCATCCCCATAAAACTACCACGAACGATGTGAAAAGGATAGAAAATACCAGTGAAACAGGCATCTCCATTGTGATCCCAATGTTCAAACAGGACTCACGAACCTCTTGTAAATGCTATAGTGACGTCTACCTGGCAGCCGTAACGACCAAGGTTCATCCCGGCACAGTTAGGCGGATTAATATATGTTAATTTGTGGGCGAGATGGCTCTGTGGTTAGAGCATGGACCGGAAGGTGCGTGGTCTGAACCTGGCCTCTGCACCTCGACTTTTCCCGCCTATGTCTTGGGCAACCTGGCAGTATAGTGGCCCTCGTATTTCCTTCGAGTGGCATGGCAGCTAGGAACCGAAAACGTGTTACAACTGAACGAATATTCGTTGGGTTTCACGTCGGGTGATGATGCATTGAACGAACTGTCGTTTGAACACCGTAGCTTCTAAATTAGCTTCCTTCGATGTCGGTTATCATTAGATTGTACTGACAGTTTCTATGGGTCGAAAGTGTCGCATCTAGTTTATAGCTCTTCCAAAAACACCAGGTACCAACTCCAATGGACGCGTACGATTTTGTGACAAGCTTTCGCCCACATTTATCAAAGGCGGTTGTGTCAGACGAGACTATCCCTCTCTCACTCCATTTGGACTTCGATATCAAACTGCTGTTCACACGTCCACTTCTGGAGCGTTCGTCCACCGATGACATTGTTCCAACTCAAATATCATGCTTACGGATGAGCCGTTCGATGGTGTAGGTCAGTTCACCTTCGTTGGCAGATGCCTAAGTCCCGATGAACTGGAGGTAGACACCAGCGTCTCCAGAACCCGAAAGGGCATGACGACTTCTCTGTAGCTTCTCTGGCGCTGTCTTCACACCGGCTTGTATGATGTCTGAAATGAGGCAATCTCTGTGACCTCTTTCGGTCACTGTCTAGGACGCACGGTTCTCCTCTCGTCACCCTTCCTGTCCCGGTTGAAAAAATTCTTAGCAGCTCGAACCACACATAGTCGACGGTTCAAAGCTGACCAACCGAACTGAATTGTGGGTATGTATGGAGGTGGGAATGGGCGTGCAAACTGTTCTCTCGTCACCCTTCATGTCCCGGTTCAAAACTGACCAACCGAACTGAATTGTGGATATTTATGGAGGTGGGAATGGGCGTGCAAACTGCCACCGGCCATTAGAACAAGGTTGCTCCAACGGAGATGCAGTTTTCGCTATCGACGGACATATGTCGATTGCACAAACTGTCAAGGAAATAGGCATCAGCCTTGTCTCAGTACACAGGCTGACAAATCGCAGTTATCTACCCACCTCTACGGCAGGGTGCTGGCATGTAATTGGGAGCTAGCCAGGCCCACCATATTTCTCCTTCACAATGCTGGTTCTGGTAAGTCGTTTGATCTCGGTGTCAATGGGCTTCTCAGTCGCTAAGAGTGAGGTGCGAGCGTTTTGCGAAGAATTGAGTAGTGCAATGCAAAGCAGTAGAGCACAAGCACGCAGGTATCCCGAAAGGAGTGATAGGCAGTGGTCCATCCCTGCGACCGGGAACTAATTTTAATGTGGTCTATTCGGACTGGAGCCCGGTTGTTTGGGGCTACCTGAGAGTATGTCACCAGGTTAAGCACCTCAATAAAGTCAGGTGTGCTGCTAAAAATTTCTCCAACTGATTTCTTCGTAACGGTCGACAGATTCCTAATCCTTTAGGATCAATTGCCTGGCCCAATCAAGTCGAGAAAGGATTTTTTTGAGTGACCATCAGAGTTTGGGCGCGAATACAAACTGCTGACCTGATTCGGAAACTTTTACTAAGAAACGCTCGGAATAGTTTGTGGCCACATCGAGTAAGACTTTTTTTACGATATCTTACGACACCGTACCTTGGAAAAGCACATAACTATGGCATTCACACCCGACTTCACATCTCTGGTCTGTCGCTCATATTCCTCCACGGACTACCTTGACGTATACTTCTTGATCTGCAAACTGAGCGAATAGGTGTTGTAGCTTTACCATTGTTGACGTCCTCTGGAAGATCTGAACATGAACAAATCATGAGCAAAGAAATACCATCAAATTGCATACACCTTCCTCTTGAGCTTGAGTGGACAGTCCCTACCGGACCACGTAACCTAATCCGTGTGTTATTGAAGGATGGTTCCGTTATATCGAAACAGACTCGTTCAGCTGGGGCACCCTCTCGGTGCCTAGCTGCCATGCCACGCGAATGAGGCACGAGGGCTGGGATGCTGTCAGGTCGCCTAAGCCTAGACAGGGGAAGTCGAGAGGCAGAAGTCGGGTTCGAACCACAGACTTGGGTAGCATTTAGCTCAGTATCGGAAATGGCTATCGTGTGAGAACAGATTAGCTCAGCATTCTACGCTGGGTTATTCAGCATTTTTCCCGATCATTTCATCCTGCTAAAAGCAATAAAGGCGTGAACACCTTGTCAATCTTTTTACCGGAATTTATCAGTGATTCTTGGAGTCAGAATTAAAAGTAGGAGCGAAAAAATCCTTTGACTGAGTTCTAACTAAAATCATATCGTTTAGCTGTAGCATCCTTTCGGTGCCTAACTGCCATGCCACCCGAAGGAAGCACGAGGGCTAGGATACTGCCAGGTTGTCCAAAGCTAGACGGGGAAAGTCGAGAGGCAGAGGTCGGTGTCGAACCACGGACCTTCCGGTCAGTAAATTCGCCCTCTAACCACAGCCATCTCGCCCTAAGTTCTAACCTTACTTATCAAGTGTCTCTTACCTAACGCTAAAAGTTATGCGCTTAGTCACAATGCTGCTGGAGAATCGTTTTTCAAACCACACTGATTGGTTGAATTCTCTCTGACCATCCCACGGGTGTTCATATGAATGCTTTGGACTTGCGGAATTCCTGTATCGGTATCTTGCTCCATAAATCAGGTGAACCTTGTATCCACCCTGTGTACCGTGTATGTCGTTTTGGCTTTCGGAGATATTTGGACACCATACCTTTGTTCTGAGTCACCTTTGTGTCCAACCGACTGTTAGTCTGCTCCTTAAGTGTATATGGGCAAAGTGACTGACAAATACCGGTTGGTACGACCACGCCAGGTGGACGCTGGTCTATCCTAAACCAGTCTGAGCTCCAGTTCACTAGTCCGCTTCCAATGTGCGCGAAGATTTCCGTGGCTGCACTTCATCATGCCTTTAAGCATTATGTGAAATACAAATGTATAGTTTCCTGAGCAGTCAGGCAATCCCCGTACCACGCCCATATGATTGACGTACAGGCTTTCGCCTTCGAACAGGACTACAGACAAATGAGTCACCAACGTCACGTGACGGGTTAAGGCCTTACTGGTAACCCTGCGACCGTTTATATCGGTTTGAGCTTCCCGTTCAAACTCTTGACCGAAGTCTGATTGTTTGGATCATTTATTTGAGTATAATTTGTAGGACCTGTCACCCCACGATGTATATTTCGGTCCTCATTCTTCCCCGGTAGTTTCACCTGGAACTGCACGTAGCAAGTGCATTCGCTCGTCTGTATGTCAGTGAAAGAGGAGGAAAATAACAGCTTCTAATGACACAACCGTTCCTCACAAATCAAGAATTCTCAAATGGGGCACGCTGATTTCTTTTTTCACTTCTCATGTTTAGACCGACCGTATGACTGACCTATAGTTGTTCACAGTTATTCCCCATGTCACCATCATGGCCGGGACAAACATGGCTGTGTTACGTCTGCTTTCTCCAGCCCCGTCCTACTCGGTCGATGGTTCTGACCTAATTATCGGCTAGACGACGGTTAGCGGGCTTTCTGGGTTTCCAGACGCGACTTTTCTCCTCACAGACGAGACTTGTTTCTGTTTACCACGAGGTTTCAAACTGTCTCCAATTTTTTTCTCCAAGTTTCCTATCATCTTCAAATTTTTTCAAAACAGTTTCCAAATGATTTGAGCGTTCCGTCGCTTTGTTAGTTTGAACTCCTTTTTTGTGTTGTTTACGATACGTGGATCTCCCATCATTCGTATGAATGGAGAGCTTGGGGTGTCGCACATTTCCTAAGGTTAGTCATGTATGGGACTTGGAATTGTTTTTCTTTCCATCCGAACGGAATAAATGGCACATCTTGATTCCCCAACTAACCCCCGTAGTTCTTACCTGATTGTCACGTCAAAGCCTGACGACATCTGTTCTACTCATGCACTATTCGGCTTATATCAGGTGGCTTTTTTTACTGAGCCTACGCTGCCTTGGCCTAGAGTTTAGTCCAGCTGGTTGGAGCTTGCCACATGTAGTAAGGGTTGAAGGTGATGAACCCAATACTTATCAATGATTACCGTTTGTTGAACGATGATCAGATGGCATTTCTGTTCTGAATGAAAGGACAGAACTGCTGGAATGGAGCTATTCAACGAACCAACCAAATGCAAAACAAACAGACCGCAACGCAATGCCAATAGAGAAACAACCAATCGTATCAAGCGTCAGACAATACTGAAGCAGTCAGTTACGTGCGGGCATTGACTACACTTTATGGACTATATAAACGCAAGCAGGATTGGAAGAATCATCCACCAAGCCATACGCTGACGATGTTCCCTCGTATGCTGACGAACAGATCAAATGCCACCTGATCAACAGCCAATTAACTCACCCGAGCTACCAATATCTAGGCGCATTGCCGACTACCGTTTGTTTCGTTAGATTGTCTCCGCGTAATGGTATCCTGTCCTATGGTTCTTATCTAACAGAGCCCCCCCGGACTTCTGTTCATCATATGGTTCCAGATTCGGTGCAGTTCTAAAAACATTTCGCTCTCATCTGCCACCCAATCTAAATATGGGACGACGACCAAGATGCTGTCAGTTTAACGGCGCCTGTACAGAAGCATGGATGAAGGTCCTCACGTGGATTTGAAACAAACTTACCCGTCAAAGACCCAAGGCTTGAGTCATCGCGAGCTCCCAAAATAGTCATTGTAAACTAAGAAAGAAGCACACGCATGAGATTAAAAATTGAACGTGGCAACTCCTGGCAAGTTCTCTGGTCACTGGACAAATCGAAGACGGATCATTTTCACTTCGTCCAGACATTAACGAAGGTTTTCTCCAGTAAAATCAGCAGTGGGCAAGCGACTTTTGAGCCCTAGGACTCGAACACAAAACTGTGTTGTTTCTTGATTTCTTTTTCTCCCAAGATTATGTGAATGTAACCAATCGGATTGCATATTGTCTTGACTCCATATCAATCCAACTAGTTTTGTGCCGATGCTAACGTAAGTTTGGATGATCGATGACCTCGCTTCTCTGGATGGGTAGGCGGGACAGTTCTCCCAGATGTCATAAGCTCTGTCGCATTAGTCTTCATCCTCATTCTTCCGCCCATTTCCATTTATGATGGTAGCGTTCTCTGTTTATTTCTCATAGATTCGTTAGATGCGACTGTCGGACCGCTGTCACAGAACTCTCTCCCGTTGGATGTCAATATTCCAACTGGTCGCAACTCACTCTCTTCAACAAGTAGCACTCAGGTCACTACGAACGCTTCAACAAACCCTGTTCTGCATACCCAAATCAACACGGTGAGTTAGTTCTCTTCTGAGTTCATCACATGTTCGCTGTTGATTCATTCGATACCTCTACTCACCTCATGGCTTAACCATTTACACTTTTTCTTTCATTCGAATATGCAGCGCGTTAATGTCCAACAGCTCTCCCGGGGAGAATGACTCGTTCAGCTGTAACACCATTTTGATGCCTAGCTGTCATACCGCCCGAGTAAGGCAGAAAGGCTGGGATACTGCCAAGTTGCCCAAGTCTAGACAGCGAAAGTTGAGATGCGGAGGTCGGGTTTGAACCACGGACTATCCGGTCAGTTTGTTGCGCTCTAACCACTGAGCCATCTCGCCCTCGAGGACGAATGACTACATGGAATCAAGACCTGAGAGATGATATCAACTAAACAGATCCGTCGCAAGTGATTTGCTGGCACTATTGGGGAATTCTGCCCCTATTGAATCCTCAGTTTCATGAATAAAAATCACGAGCTGGTTTGGGGAGTGTTGACTATTGTTCTCCTATCCGGGTGGCCGGTGTGTGATTTGATGACTTGGCCCCATTAGTTGAGTACATTTGGGGACGTGTTTAGTTCTGAGGATACCGTTTGACTGGGTTCGTGAGTTAACTACAATGTTCGCTTCATTTGGTGGCCTCAGCCCCGATGCGCGTTCCAGTTGGCGTGTTCGGCTTCTGCATCACCGGTCAGCTGGATCTGTTATCTGGGTGCAATCTTGTACTGGTAGCTTGGCCATTAGCTTTAATCAGTATGAATCAAGTGGACCAAGTGGTTAGGGCGCGAATTTACTGACCGGAAAATCTATGGTTCGAACTCGACCTCTGCCTCTCGACTTCCCCTGTCTAGGCTTGGGCAACCTGGTAGTATCCCAGCCCTCGTGCCTCCGTGTGTCATGGGAGCTAGGCACCGAGAGTGTGCTACAGCTGAACGAACTTAATCAGTATCAGCTGGGTCTTTTCCAGCCAGACCGTCTTCATATTTTGGCCTTGCCACCTGTCCCCTTCCGGTTATCGTTACTAGCCGTTCGTTCTTACAAAAGCTTCGACGCGATTTTCGCGGATAACCATAATGCCTCTGTCAGACAGCTTTATCGGTTGTTCGGTTTTCTCATCTTTAGCTGTTTGTAGTTGAGTCAGCTGGCTGGCCGAACGACAACCTACACCACATCGTTATACCTAGCTTCGTTCAATCCACTGTTTTCAGCCAATATTTACTCCTTTTCGTTCAAGTATTATTCTCTATTGCTTTTTAGGACCATCTGAGTGAGAAGAACGTCACCCGAACAGATGTGGTGCCAACGTCGTCCGCGGCAACATTGCTGTCCACCAGCACCACCAACAATAGCAGCACCGACAACAGCAACAGGGAGCCAGCGAAAACTCTCACTGCACACTTTCCTGACCTGTGTGCTCGTCCAGATGGGACAAGTTTTTGTTTGGACTTGACTAAACGTTTCCTACTGCCAGCCACTGTGGGAGCCAAGCCCTGGGATCGTCATCTCCACCTAACGGACGTGATTGTTATGCTCGTGAACCAAACGGGCCGAATAGTGTACCACAAATGGTAAGTCGTGGTACATTCTGAAAATTGAGGGCTATCAAAACTCGCCCGCCCATTTTCATCTACAATGTAGTACTGTTGAGGAAAAGCACGTATCTCTGACCAAGATATGACAAGGGTTGTCCCAACCCGGGGATATTAGCCGAGTCTATCCAAGCTCTATTTAGAATGCACTGAAAAGATAGCCACTTCAGGACTATCCAAATTCTGGCAGTGAAACAAGTCATCTCTGTGGGTACTCTGGTAGTAACCCGGTCCTCAAGTTGTATGCTACTGAGGGCTGTCACGGCTGAGCGCTTGTTCCAATGGGTGTGCGTGTTTGCTGATCTTACCAGTGTTGCCAGCGAATTTCCGCCTCAATACCAGACGGTCCTATGAAGTGCGAGCTGACCGGCCGCACCGAGTCCCCATGCATGTTTCGCCGTAATATATCAGAACCCCTAGTACTTTCTGCCTGCTAATTCATATCTCCTTTGCTTGAATACTTCCATCTTACTGGGTACCAGTAACACGTTTGACGCCCTGGTCCTATTGCTGCGCATGCGCTGAGATGGATATTTCTTTTCCCCATGGTCGTCGACTACCTCAGTCGCTTATTTCCCTTTTGTCGACACACCTTTGTCTACTTTTTTGCTTTCCTTGTTGTCCAGCAACAAGAACATAGCCGGGGTTTTTCGTTACGATTCATCCTCCGTGTGTGTGTGTGTACGCGCGCAGCAACGGTTGTTGCCCAACTATACCGTCTGAGGGAGTAGTCTCAATGACAATGCGCTCCCTGTCTAAACACTCTTGCTTCGCTACTGAAATCGAATAGTAGTACATGTGCTGCGAAGGTCAGGACCTTTTTGTCGTACCTAGCTCGATAATACTAGTTCTGTAAATTAGTTTGAACGTTCCTGGTATGCGCTCCATTGATTCCTGTGTGAAGGTTAGATTGGATCAGGAATTCAGCACGTGCGATGGATTTTCGATGATTCTGGAATTTGCCGATCATCTTCTTTGTCCCATCTGAAAAAAGCAACGGTGTTGTTCAATGCATAATCTACCTCCGGTTATTGTTTTTTCAAAACCCGGAATGCATCGAGTAACGTGTTATTCTTACCAAGACTGATTGCAGAATATGGGTGAAAGCGACTGTGTTCGAAAACCGTCGACTCGGACCCTGCTTATTCGAAACATTTGGTCAACACAACCGTTGTTCGGTTGTTCCCGAATTCAACAGAAGGTGGGTCCTATCGAAAGACAATTTGTCCGTCCTGCAGCCGAACGATCCACACGTCGCCGACCTCAGGGCGATAATAGTACGATAGTCGTTCAGCTGTAATATCCTTTCGACGCCTAGCTGGCGTACTACCCGAAGACATCATCATTGTCAGATGTAATAACCGCGTACTCATCGCACAGTGGTTGTAGCTACCGCAGTTTCGTTCACCGATGATTTGGGGGGTAGCTGCGCATTGTAGACGGGAGATGATAAATTGGTGCATAAATCCAGCACTGTCAAGTGGGGGTTGGGTTTGGAAAAGGAGCTATGCACGAAAAATGCGATGCACTCAAGTGGCCTAAGCCCAGGCCCCTAAGCAGTCAAGATGCAGTAGTTGGGTTCGAACCACGGACCTTCCGATCAATAGTTCACGCCCGAACCCCTGAGCTACCTCGATCCCAAGGTTGGATGTCTATAGCTCGATTCAATCAGAAAACAAGGTCACGAGCGAAATTGGTGATAAACGAAGCCCTTGGTTTTGACGGAGCTGATCGGACTGCTTTGTGATGATGTCTCCACTTCAAAGGTGCACTCAACTTCCCGGACGCTTATACTTCAGCACCCATATGTGCGTGAGAATATGTGGATGATATTCTTCTGACTTCAGCGTCACAAGTGATACAACCTGTCCTTTCTATTCAATCATTGAAAAATCTGCTATTGTTTTCGGAAACGACGTTTGGGAGACTATCGGTAGATTTATTGCTAGGCAACGTTTCGCTTTTCACACAAAAGTTTCGTCAGGCCAAGTGGCTAATTTACGAAGAGATTTAAGGCGGAAGGAGAACTTATCAGTTAAGCCAGACCGAATCGGTGTTAGACGTCTGCTCAGGAATTTTTTGTTAGAGTGGGTCAGCAAAACCGATGGGGAACCTACATGGATTTGAGTCCAGCATAGGGTCTAGTTCTTACGGCTCGCTTCACGTTGTTTATACTATGTTGTCTGTCTGTGTGGATGAACCACTGCTATGATCCTGTGTGTACGGGAGAGTGACCGGGTTGGGATTTCCGCTGACAACCCCACACCATCACGTGTCAACTCGGCTTACCTAAAGCCGCTCTCCATACGCTCGCCAGTTCCACACCCTCAATTCTATTCACTGTGATGCTGATTTCCACGGCCTCAGCCACCAGGCGCTGTGATGTGAATTGTAGTACCTAGCTTAAAACTTGCACACTCTCCAGATCTGTTCTATGTCCTGTGTCTAACGCGTGTACCCCCATCACTGAGTCTCTGACCAGCGCTTGCTATTCATCCGCATTCCTCGATGGTTTGTTTACTCTTCTCTGTATGCTCGCCAATTCTGGTATGCAGTTCCTTGTCCTATGTAAACCTTGGTGCAATCGTTACGTGTCTACCACTACCGACTGAAACCTGTTCCTGAGGGAGACCCTAAAAGCTTTGAGTGTGCAGAAGATGCCACCCTGCTCGGTTCAGCTACCCTTATTTGGATCGTAAATTCACTGAATAACCTAAGTAATGTTGCCGTTCGATCCGTACGTTCTTTGTACCCTCAAACTACAAAGTTTGATTGTGACTCATCATCATTATCGACAACATGACATCAATGTTTAACACCGATGCTTGGCTGCCGTACAACCATGAGTCATTTGCGAGACTGGTCTGGTACATTAGTAATGACATCTGAGCCGCTGGATCAACCGCCGTCTGGTGGTGTCTCCTCGTTCGGTGGCGAACTGTCTGCAAGTTACTTACCAGGTCAACAACCAACAGATGGTGGACAAATTCACTTATCTGACCAGTTTTGCATCCTGTCCGTGACAACACTTTGAAGTGACTGCCGGAATCGCTAAACTCCACTCCGTTTTCCTCCAACTTGTATACTTCTAGAGTCGACTTGAGTGGGTCTACAGCACGGCCGTGGGTTCAGTGTTGCTTTGCAGTTTTGGCCCTGAGTCGTTGTTTCAATGCGTGTGCGCGCATGGAAGGCTGGTTGCTTGTTTTGGACTATTAGCGTTTTCCTAACATTACGCGCGTATCATGGGACCTGTGCTGAAACGTGACCAAAGGGTTTTAACAACAGACCGACTGTTCATAGTATGAGTGGCTCGATTCGAGTTGGAGATTCGTATGCCTCGTTGGGACGTTTGCTGAAGCACATGACCCTGATCCGAAGTGTGATTCGTAACTGCGGTGACGCATATCTCGTCTACGAGACTAGTTCGTGGGCGACCCATCCTACCAGTGGTTTGAAGTACTCACTGTCCGTCAGCTCAAGTTCTCTTGCTGTTACGTTTGCTTCCTGCATCCGTGGTTTCCTGTGCATGTTACACTAACCGCTGCCATGTACTACGCCACCGCGGGCCACCATTCTGACTTACACGGTTCACTCTTGTCTAATTTCTGCGTTTGTCGTAACAGTTGAGCGCACAACACCATAACAGCCAGCGGTGTCCCGCATGCCTCATACTACGGCTGTTGCCGTATTTCGATCACCGGCGATTCGATGAGTTGTCCTCATTCTGTCCCATGGCAAACCCTAAATTTCAATATGGTTCGTCTGCGATCTCGTCCATGGACCTCGGTCCATGTCTGCGATGAAAAAAATCTATCCATAACTGACAAAATCATTCCAAAGTCGAGCGGTATTTCTGCGAGTGACCGATGAGAATCGCTCAATACACACGTAGACCAGCTGGCGACTCAGTGTTTCTTCAACTATGGCTTTACTCGTCCGTGATCCAGTCAGGTGTTTCTCCAGGGTTTGGTTTGCAAGGCACGACCGATCACCTCACGTACAGCAAGCGTGTTTTCGCGACTTCTGTTCTTCGTGCGTCGGTCGGACACGTGACTGCTTTTGTGTGTACACTTTGTGTGTGTGTGTGTGCGTGCGGTAGTTTCAAGAGTTTTCGACTAAACCTTCATTCAGACCACGCTCTATCATAGTTGTGGACATCGCGCAAGCTGGCAAACGACCGAGCGTCAGCAGGTGAGTCACGCCACCTCACCAGGCTAACCGTGTCCTACCTACCACACATGCGAACATACACCGCTGCATGGTGTGCAAACGCTAACGGATAAAATGTGAGGGGACTGGTATCGGAATCTGTGGTAACGATGCGAACTCGGCTCCGCAGTCGTACGGTTACCAGCAGTTCTTTTCGATGCTCCCATCTTCTGTACACCACCAGAAACAATGAGGAACAAACAACGAGTGTCTGGGCGTAATACACTACTCATAAGGTTGCTGAAAATTCCTCGACAGCCCACTACGGGGCCCATCAGGCAGATGCAGTCCCCGAGTTTCCGTCAACCTTGTGTTCTATTTAAGCCCAAATTAGACAGATTTGGACAAATACACTCATTTGCATATCAATTTGGTTTTGACGGTAGACTCAGCTGAATCTCCCGTTTATAGTGTCACTCTTGGACTAGCTCGGAAATTCGCGGACGCCTCTGGTCACTGAAGACACTCTCAAGCTGGTCGGGATTACATACCGAACCTTATTTGGGCTCCCAATTCACTTTTGTGTTTATCCCTACCTGTTTACTAGTTGCGTTGTTTAGACTCCGCCAGTGAAATGTTCCGTTGCGTATTTTATGGAAGAATCGAGTCTTCCCCATTTTCAACAGATTACGTTTACTCTGATTCCCTGAGAACTAATTATGGCGGCATTAAGTACGCAAGTTGATCATTAAAAAAAATAAATCGTTCAGCTGTAGCGCCCTTTCGGTGCCTAGCTGCCATGCCACACGAAGGAAGCACGAGGGCTGGGATACTGTCAGGTTACCCAAGCCTAGACAGGGGAAGTCGAGAGGCAGAGGTCCGGTTCGAACCACGGACGTTGCGGTCAGTAAATTCGGACTCTGGCCACTTGAGCCATCTCGGTCCGATCATTATGGTCATGGTATGATATATGCTATGGTATAAGGGCGACTGCGCACGCACACTCACTGAGTCTCATACTAGGATGATCGGCACCGGTGTGCATTCGTCCGCTCGATCATTTTTGGTCGCACGCGTCACCGGATGGTCGGCCAGGTATCTGCAAATTCCGGACTGTGTAAACTTGGCATCGTTCGTGCCTCATTCCGGCGGACTGGCATCCACTTCCGTCGTACTTAGTATTATATACGATTTTATGGTGTTTCATCCAACTCTGACTGTAGGACTGCGGGATGGGCGGTCGTGTTGTGTCTATTTTGTATGATGCTTAGCTGGTAGAGCAGAACAGACATACGCGCGCGCGCACACACACGTCTAATTTACGGGTTTGATATCAATTCAAGCTGATCTATTGATTGACGTGTAGTCATTCGTAGCAAGTGAAGCGTAGATTGTCACTTGTAGTTTGGGCCATTGTATTACGGAGGGGACGGCGCGTATCGATCACGGCTCAACTAGCTGTAGTTCATAGTTAAGGATAGCGGGAAGAATTTGCTTGCTCCTAGTCAAGTTAGAAAGAAACAACTTGTTTTCCTGGCTAGAATGAATCGTTCAGCTTTAGCCCCCTCTCGGTGCCTAACTGCCATGCAACCCAAAAGTTGCACGACGGCTGCCATGTTGCCCAAGCCCAGACAGGGGAAGTCGGGAGGCTGAGGTTGGGTTCGAACCACGTACCTTCCGGTCAGTAAATCCGCGCTCTTACCACTTGGGCCATCTCACCCGTTAGTTGGTCAGAACTCGCTTCCTGCCAACACTTTACTGATTTGGATAACTTTCAGGGGGGTTGGGGTTGTCTATAGTAAGACATCCAGCTTTCTGGCGGAATATAATCCAGACCTCAAATATCCATTGCCCGAGGCTACCACTCTGCCAATCGATCTTTGTGACGACCACTCCATCACTTCCAACAGCGTGCCTCAATTCATCCAACTGACTCCTTTATTCTACTGAACAACCACCTTGCGGTGGGTTGTTCATATCGAAATGCAGAAATCTAGTTACCAACTTCCAACCAGCTCCCTTCAATGAGTCAAACCGGTGACGTTGGTCTAAACAGGGGCACGCGAGCTGAGATACTGTCAGGTTGCACGACCGGATAAAGGATCGGTCTGGATGCTGAGGTCGGTTTCAAGCAACTGGCCTTCCAGTCCTTAAACTGGCTTCTTAACCGTTGAGCCATCCCGAGTTTGGCAATGACAGACGTCCATTCCAAATTTGTGTCGCTTCTAAAGGCTCTAGAGGCCTATTGTCATGGTTTTGTACTCTGCTTCCCTTCTCGATCTTTGGTCAGTCTTTCTTCTCTCTATTTGATCACCGGGGGCGAGATGGCCCAAGTGGTTAGAGCGCGAATTTACTGACCGGAAGGTCCGTGGTTCGAATCCGACCTCCGCCACTCGACTTTCCCTGTCTAGGCTTGAGCAACCTGGCAGTATCCCAGCCCTCGTGCTTCCTTCGGGTGGCATGGCAGCTAGGCACCGAAAGGGTGCTACAGCTGAAGGCTATTTGATCACCGCTGCATCTCTTCAGATTAAATCTAGATAACTCAACAACTAGACCACTTTCAAGGTGGCTCAGTGGTTACAGCGCGAATTTACTGACCGGAAAGTCCGTGGTTCAAAACCGACCTGTGCCTCTTGACTTCCCCTGTCTAGGCTTGGGCAACCTGGTAGTACCACAGTCCTTTGTTGACCGGCAATTTGGCACTGAAAGGGTGCCACGGCTGATTGACTTTTTGGACCACTTTCGTGCAGTCCCCCTACAGATCGCCTTAATCGTAAAATCTCTCTTACAAGTCCGTTTTCGTGATTCCTTCGGAGGGGCGACCATCCGACGTCATTGTCTTTCGGGATTTTGTCAGCGCTCCTACAGTTAAAATGAGTTTTATGCTTTAGCAAACATATTCGGCTCGTGCCCCAACCAAATAAAGGACTGTGATTGGTCGGAAGTGAAGTACCAGTAGTGATAACTGATGTAGCCGACGAGTTTACGTAGACAGTGGGCTAGGAGATATTCCACACTAACCGGAGGAAGAATGCATCGAGCACGCTGAGCATTAGACTGGGAATATTGGGAGCAATCTGTGTAATGTACTACTCATAAGGTTGCTGGAAATCCGTCGACCGGATTGAGAACATCACAAACGAGAGATTCAGCTGGGTTCCATGTGAATCTCTCGAAAAACCAAATTAGTTTGCAAATGAGTCTGTATTCGCGAATTTCGAGCAATTTGGTTTCAAGTAGAACATAAGGTTGACGGAAACCCGGGGACTGCGCCCACCTGATGAGCCCCAAAAAGTGCGAAATCGGCCGTGGGCT